GTTAGCCGCTGACAGGCACCTGCTTGGCCAGGAGCTGGGAGGTGGGCGGGTTGAGTGCCATGACGGGCTGGCCCACCACTTGAATGGGCGCGAGGCCAAGGGTGGCCGCCGTGGCACCCCCAGGGCTGCCGTTGGGCAGGCCCTGGAGGCCTGGGATGGGCTGCAGGGTCACGTTGCCCAGGCCCACGGGCTGCAAGAAGGGCTGGACACTCAGGGCCTTGTTGACCACATCCTGGGGTGGTACCAGGGCCTGGTGGGTCAGCACAGCTGGGGGTGCCTGTAGCCCCAGCAAGTCAGTGCTGCCTGGGAAGAGGGCCTGCGGCCCCGCAGCCACAGCGGCCGCCCCTCCAGCGCCCGCCGGGCCTGCCCCGCCATCTGCAGGCTGTAGAGTGGGCAGCTGGAAGGGGCCTAGGTCCAGCTCAGCCTCGGCCTCCAGCGTCTGCTCAGTGATGTTGGCCTCTTGGAGACTCTGCTGGAGGATGTCGCAGGGCTGGTCGGCGCCTCCGCCGCCCCCGCCACCACCTCCTGCCGCAGGCGAGCCCAGGATGTCATCTTCTAGGAAGTCTAGGTCCACGCTGGGGGCGGGCTGGCTCGGCTCCGGGTTTAGGTGGTTGCCAGAAGCTTCTTGCACATGGAGCTGAAGGCCGGGGAAAGTGGGAAGGGAAGAGCCGAGGTTAACAAGGGGCTGGGCCCAGGCGTGGCTGCAGCACAGGTGCTCAGGTGTCGGGGCAGCCACGCACAAGGCAGAGGGTTCTTTCTGTCTGCAAGGGCTGGACCCAGATCCCATCCCAGCTCAGCCAGGGCTTGGTTGTGCACCCTGGGGCTTTCTTAATCTGACCCGTTTCCCCAAATAGACCCGGCGGGAGAATGCAGTAAAAACAATGTTTTAAATAGCAGTGCAGGCCCACAACACTTATCTGCAATTTCGAAACTCAAAAAGCTCTGAAAACCAAGAGTGTGTTCATAACTGTTCCGGCAGCACAACCTGACCAGAACTGAAGTAGACCTGCCCTCCTCCCATCGAAGCCCTCAGGGACACAAGCCCTCACACTGGGGTCTCCCTCCCACTGGCTGCTGTCACAGGCACCAGGGTCACTTACCCCAGGACCTTCATAGAAGGCACTTTGGGCCTCCCCGGGATTATCCAGGAGGTCATCACTGTCGAGCTGCAACAAGCCCC